TGTATTGTCATGTATATTCAACACGACAATCCACATGCGTATACTGAAGGTGTCTGCTCAAAACCATTCACTTGAGAGTGTGTGCACCGCGGACAGCAGACAGATTCACAGTCTGGTTGGGGAGAAAGAGAAACTAAAGCACAACACGACAAGTACATCACACACATATGCCTGAGCACGCACACACACGTACTCGCACACACACACACAATGGCCTTCTCCATCAATCGACGGCTGGTGCAAGTGAGCAAACACTTCGGACAACACTTCCATTGGTAAATCCAGGTGAAGGGTAAACAGGTGTCCACTGTATTATTCGTTCAAATTTTCCAACGTTCAGACTTTTTCATGGTAAAGTTTTCTGAAAGATTAAAAGAGCGACCATCTTGCTTCTTAGATACAGAAGGGTTTTGCGTATGACGCTCATCTGTCAAAGCAGAGGAAGGAGCAGGAGGCACTTGGCATCAATGTGCTTCTCTGCTCAGGATCTGTCAGAGGGTCCCTGGAGCCCCGACTGAGCAAGCCCCGGGCACGTCCTGGCCCCGATGCACTAGGCTAGGGGCCGAGTGGGAGAGACCCTGCCAGAGCTACAGGCCAGTGAGGAGCCTGAGGGGCAAGCACCCACAGCACTGGGAAGAGCACCATGCTGACAAGTCACACGTGAAGGACACATGACATCCACACTTGGCTCTGAGTCTCAGCAGAGGGGGGCTTGTCACCAGGGGAGGGAGGGAGTGTCCCAGACAGGGCAGGGGAGGGGCAGCAGCAGCCAGAAGGGAAGCCCTGCCCCTCCAGAGTGGCCCCTATCCTAGTGAGGCCTGCAGCCTGCCACCCACGGTTGCATTTTGGCAGCTCTCCTGAGCCCCCCACGTCAAACACAGTGACGGGGCCTGGAGGGAGGAGGAGAGCAGAGAGAAGAAGCCGAGGGAGCCGAGCCCCTCTGCTGCACACTCCTCAAGCCCAGGGCCTCACCAGCTCTGTGTTGGAGCGGGCTCCTGCCCATCCTTGACCCCCATGGTCTCCAGACCAGCAATGGGGGAGGGTCCCCTCACTCCACAACCCTCCAAAGGCTCCTAGAGTTTTGCCACCAGGTGGCGACAGCACCCACTCACAATGGGCCCAACCAAGGCTTAAACCACATGTGTTATATTTTTGTTTCCAGAAATACAGATAAATGCATTTTTATAAATATATTCCTATAGAGAAAACTTGATTATAGCAGTTTAAAACTAATAAAAAAGAACATCTTTCCCCAATATGGAATTTTTCTTTTCTGATCAAAGTATTCTTCCTAAATATTCAAAAAAAAAAAAAAATATATGTATGAAGTAGAAAGTGGGGGTGCCCCATGTACCCACCACCCCAAGAGAACTCTGGTTTGAGGTGGGGGTTACGTGTCCAGACGCTCTGCTGGGCCCACACAGCCCCATACACACGCTCTGCCTCACTTTTAGAAACAAGAAGACAGACCTTCCACATCCAACCCGGAGCCAGCTCTTCACTCTGCGACGCCCCGTTGCTAGTAGGAGCAACGTCTCGATGTACATCCTCACAAGGTTGGCTCGCCGTTGACCTAATTATTTCCTGGAAGTGGAATTGTTGGGTCGGAGGGCGCGCACACTTAAATGTGGGACGAATTACAAACTCACACTCCGTTCCCGCTATCGGCAAACATGATCATCGACAACGCTCTGAGACCTCTCTATTCACAGTCATGAAAAATGACACTGTTTTAATTTGTCTTTCTTCTTGTTCTGAGCCAAGTGGGGTGGAAGAGGCCAGAAGTGGCACAAGGAGGGGCTTCTGCAAAGGCTGGTCGTTTAACATGTATTCCGTTCCTTGATCTGGGTGGGACCACTTGCTGAAAACTCATGGAGCTGTACACTCTGGGTCTGTAAGCGTTCCTACACGTTCACTATGCTTCAATTTAATGTTCAAAGACACTGCACTTTGATTCTGATTGCAACTGCACATATCTATAATTAATTTAGGGAGTGCAGACATCTTTACAGTGCTGTATCTTTCCATGCCATCAACCTGACTTCCCTCTGCTGGCGCTGACCTTGAGGTCTGAGGTCGTGTCTGTCTGTATGGCTCCTTCCTTCCTTTCTAAACCCTCCTCTTTAGAAGGAAGTCACTGCTCGCAGCCCACACTTAGAGGAGGGGAGTTATGCTTCCCTCCTCAAGCGTGGAGTATCTACATAAATTACGTGGAATTCTGCATGGGAGATTTGTCTCTTGTTCCCTGTTTATTTATTCAACCGTTGATTATATCAGCATGCACTCATAGATATTTATTTTTTACTTAGGTTATAACCCAACACTATGTTACCAGACAAGGACTCAAAGCAAACAAGGGATGTAGACGCTCCTCGTGAATCCCTGCTTGTTCAGAACCATCCTGACCATCATCTCGCCCTGGGGCTTGGCTAATCAGCAAGGAGCCGAGACTGAGAAGTCTCAGCTCTGCCCCTGGCTTATCCGTACCTTCGGACTTTCAGCTCGGAGACTTGGGGCTCTCTCATCTCCAGCAGCTCCTAAAACCAACCCCCTGTTCATTTACAAACTCCTCAAAACCAGCCTTCCTCACAAGCCCAAGCAGTCGTGAAGCGTCAGGCACGTGTCCCTCCGGAACCCAGGAGATGGTCCCCACACACTCCAACAGGACAACCTCCTCCCTGGGCCGGCTCCTGCCACAAAACTAAGACACAGCCAAGCAAACTCACTGCTTTTCATCAAACCAGCCCCAAACGCCCTTGAGCACAAAGCAAAGAGCCGAGAATACCGGCTCACCCAACGAATCTAGGGCAACTGAAATAAAAGGTGATGTGAGATTTGCCCCCAAAATTGCACCACAGGGGGGGCCCTCTCCCTCATGGGGCAATGTCCTCGCCTGCTGGTGAGATGGTAACATCAGGAACCATCTCAGCCAAGGCTCTTTCACCTTTTTAAGATTCCTCAGAGGCACGCAACGCTGCCTGAATATCCCACATACCAGAACAAACACGGCCCCCACCTGATGGGCGCAGGGCAGGTGTGAGGCTGGGAAGGAAGGCAGGATGCTGAAGCTGCAACAGGCGAATGGGGGTAATGAACGACCCACCAGGCCACGGCCAGCGGCCTCTTGTCCCACTTGCCTTTGACCACATTCCACACACCTCCCGAGGCTCCATTTGCCCAGGGACACCAGTTTTTAAGGCTGCCGACACTCCCTGGCAGTTGGGGTCAATCACTGCTCTTTCGTGCGGCAGTGATGTGTACAATCTAGGTACTATCAGGCCTAGGCTCCAAACTGGTGGCAGTTCACAGAAAGAAAGCCTCAAGAATCCAACACAAGCATCTGTCAGGGGAGACACTGGGCTGGGCCAGAGCAGAAACGCACACAGCCTGCCCTGCCTGGCAGGCACTCACACCTGAGGGACGGGGGCTCGAAGGCCATCCAACACCAGGCAGAGGGAGAAAAGCAACCAGAGGTGCAAGAGGGCAATGTCCTGTAGATGCAGCAGAGGCTGGTGAGACTGTTCCAGAGGACAGCTTGACCTCTAGGACTTTGACAGGCAGGGGCCTGGGGATAGCAGGTGGGTCCATCTAAGCCAAGGGGCAGAGAGGTCCAGGTGAGAGCAGAGAAGCTCAGTGGGGTGAGTGGGAGGAGAAATTCACGTGCACAGAATCCACAGACTATAGAACGGGGGACAGCAGGGCTGTGCTGTGCCCTGGAGTCCAGGGCAGCAGCATGACTGGGGACTGAGCTCAAGCAGCTATGAGAGAGGGAAAAGGGCTCATGGTGGGGGTGGGAGAGGGTGCCTAGGGAGGCACACCCAGAAATGGATAGGCCCATCTGCAGTGCTTCCACCTGACTGGAGAGGGCAGCGAGGGGCACCGAGTGAGAGACCCTCAGAGTGTGAGGTGGGCGGCATCTTTCCCAGGAAGAGCTGTTGGAGGCTTCCAGCTGGGACACAGGACACGTCTGCGACATAACAGGATTTATAAATCAAGGCACAGAAATGGGGGACAAGTTAGATCTGGGATTCTTCACCCAGAAAAGGTAACAGAGGCCCCCCTGAGAGTTAAAACAGCCAAAGGAGAAAGTGCAGGGACGCTGTGATGGCCTCAGGAAGGGTGCGCAGGAGAAGAGAAAGCCAGGGCTGCAGGAGAGAAGGTGGAGCGGGAGGAGAGAAGGCTGGGGCGGTCACAGGAGCTGGAGAGCAGCTCAGTCAGACAACCGGCTGGAGGCTGGGGACCAACTAGCGCTGCTAGCAGGGCAAAGGAGGGCTCGAAAGCCAACTCCAAAATCGGAGCCAGTGGGTAAACCAAAGAGCCATTGGGCAGGGTGGCTCTTTCACGCAGCAAAGTCCCCCAGTGTGGTATCTCTGGATCAGAAACTGTCACAGCAGGAGGGGCTGAGCAGGCATCCCTGGTGGTTCTCTGTAAGCAGGAGAACCTTGAGCTCTTAGAGGCCGTGAGCATGAGGTGAGAACAGAGTCAGACTCCACTTTGCCTCAAGGAGCACAGAGCCTTCGTGGGCACAAGAAGGGGTCGTGGGCAGATAAGGCAGGAAAAGCCATCAGAAAAGACATAGGATGAAGACCAGAAAAAAATGTAACAGGAAGGCCGGGAGGGAGGGCCTTCTAGAAGCAAGAGGAGAACCAACACTATGAAATGCACAGAGGTTGAGGAAGGAGAGCAAGAAAGTGAAGGCTGTGTGGAGACGGCCACCCCAGCCCAGAGACCCACAGGAAGGCGGAGGCCCCAGGCACCCTCTCCACTAGGACGGGGGGAGGCGTGGGGTCAGGTCAATCGGCTCTCAGCAGCTGGCCACCTCCCACTGGGGCAGATGCTGAACTGCAAGGTATCAGGTTTAACTCTGAGGAGCTCAGTATCTAATGGTCTTCATGGTGAAAAGGGGAGAAAATTGCACGTATTTCAGGTTCCATGTTTCAGAGAAAAACGCAAACATCCAAAAGGAATAGGTACGGTTTCACAACATAGCTTTTACTTACCCCACCTGAATGAGCTCATTCAACTTGGTCGCATTCTTGTCATCCATACCTTTAAACGGAAAAAAAATAAACGTGACCATGAAGTAGTTAGGAACAAAACTGGAGAAGATTCCCAAATAATTATCTTCAATGTAGAATCCAAATCACCCTATGGAATACTCAAGGTTTTCCAGAATAAAACCCCTATGTTAGCTGCAGCCCTTCCCCCAGCGTCAAAACAATGTGTCACCTGTGCTGAGGGCACCATCCCCACCTGCACATCCTCTCCGCCCACCCAGACTTTCTCTGCACAGCTGATCGCTCCTCCCAAAAGCTCTCTCGCAGACCCCCTGCTACAATGAACCTCTACTTGTCCCCAGCCTTTCTTGGGTGAACCGCTGTGCCCTGCACACGCTTCTCCTGCTAGGCTCTTGTGTTACCTGTGGGCCCCCCTCAGTCAGCTTTGAATCCCCAGGCTCCCAGAGTCTGCTGAATGACGAACAGAGACCCTGCGTGTTTACTAGAACAGGCGTCCCCTTCCCTCTGCCCTCCTGGCACTCACTGCTCGCCTTGGGACGTGCGGGAGGGCAAGCAGAGCAAGCAGGCAGGGGGAGAACCTGGGGGCAGGTTTTGGGTGCTCACTGTGCAGTTCTTTGAACTCTTCTCTATGTTTGGGGAAAGAAAAAAAACAGCAAGCCACAAAAACCTGGCCAGGCTGAAAACCAAAGACAAGGACAGAACCTCAAAAGCAGCCAGAGAAAAGCCATGACTCCCCTACAGAGAAATAAGGACACAAGTGGCCAGTGCCCTCTCACCACAAACAAGGCAAGCCAGAGACAGTGGAGCAACATCTTTAAAGTGACAAAGGGGAAAAAGTGTCAAATCAGAATTCTACAACCAGCAAAAATATCTTTTAAGAATGAAGACAGGGCCGGCCCCGTGGCTTAGCGGTTAAGTGCGTGCGCTCCGCTGCCGGCGGCCCGGGTTCGGATCCCGGGTGCGCACCGAGGCACCACTCCTCCAGCCATGCTGAGGCCGCGTCCCACATACAGCAACTAGAAGGATGTGCAGCTATGACAGACAACTATGTACTGGGGCTTTGGGGGAAAAATA